GGTGTCTATTGATGACATATACATGTCTAACAAGTTCACACGTTCGCGTTATTGGTACAGCACGACAGCCCGACAGCCCACATGTACTGTATATTGCATCCTGTACTTGAATATGCCAGCTGCTATACAAATGAAACTTCCGTACCCCGAACAGTATCCTGCCAACCGTGGTGTCCCTCAGGGTTCTGTTCTTGGTCCGCTCCTGTTCACCCTGTACACACGCTCTCTTCCAACATGCTTGGCTTTCTCCACCAGCCAACTCTATGCCGATGATACAAATATCTATGTTGCAGACAAGACCGCCGATGCAGCAATTGAAAAGCTTGAGAAAGACTTGCACTCAGTCAGCGAGTTTCTGCACGCCAGAGAACTCAAATTTAACCCGGCAAAGACTCAGTTTCTTGTTCTGCGGAAGCCCACCGTGCAGGCATCCTGTCAGTTGCGATTCTGTGGCACTGTGGTTGAACAATCATCTTGTGCTAAGTATCTTGACATCATTATTGATGAGCACTGGACATTCCGTCAGCAAGTTGATGCACTCCGAAAGAAGGTCAGTGCAAAAGTGAATGCATTTCTTGACCAATGCAGCTAGGCGCACATTTTATCTCTCTTTTGTCCAGTCTACACTGGAATATGCAAGCAATGCTTATGTACACAGTCTGCGACAACATGAATATGATTCTCTCACCCGCATCTCTCGCCGTTCATTGCGTACTGTATTTCGCTACCCACCCACCGCAGATGTTTAGTGTATTCTATCTCGAAACAACCTCACACCCATCACTATCCGTTTCTCCAAGAGTACATAACCCCCCAGAGTGTGCAACTCCACTATGGGTGCTGTCCCGACAGAATTTCAAGTTGACGTCATTTTGATGATGCAATGCGCACTGTACACGGATTATCAGACGAATCCGGAACCTGTGGTTGACCGAAGCCGATCGATCCTGTACAAATTATTGCAAAGAAAAACGTGTGATGCGTTGACACCCGTACACATGTTGTAAATCACTGCTGCAAGGAGCATTGCGTCATACATAATGACGTCAACTTGAAATTCTGTCGGGACAACAGGGTATGTGGGAGTTGCACACTCTGGGGGGTTATGTACTCTTGGTTTCTCCCTTAAGCTGTATCTTCTTGTATTCAGATGCGTTCATTCTTCTGCCAGTTCACTTCTGTGCCGCCTTTTCTGCCTTCGTGCCAATTCTGAGGCACGTAGCCGCACCTGCACAAGGTCTCAAGTCCCGCTTGGACTTGTACTGCCACGAGCCTCCTCTCGATTTGGTTATTCCTCTCTTTCTTATCTAGCCGCCGACCGCTGGAACTCAGTTCCGGCATCGGTCCGCCTTGCTGCTTCACCAAGTCAATTTTGTATCGCAATCCTAGATTGGCTAGGGTACCCCGTAAGGAGACCATAGGTCTGTGGGGACTGCCCTAGAGAGATATGAATAAATACTACACTATACTACTACCCTATTTTCAACACTGCAGCTAAAACATTATTTAAAAAGACACTCAGCACAAGGAAGACATTTTCAATTTCTTTGCTGCAGAATAGCTGATAGGTACTTTCTCCAGCAGCTCGTCTGTAATAATTGTCCGTGATATTGTACTCCGAGCCGCCCGACGTTGACTCCACTGTACAGTAGGTTCCACAAGGCAGGCTTCCTGCATCTTTCGTGTCTCAGTCATAATTGTCCACAGTTCGGAGAAATTTTGATTAGGCCAAAACTATAGGCTTGTTTCCGGTCGGCAACCCCTCAAAAAGGAGACTCGGTCGGCCGGAATGAAACTTTTTTTGGATACTTTTTTTTGGTTCCTCAATCGTTGTGGTATTGATGGACAAGAGCACCTACACATGTACATTGTACTTCGAAGTACATACATCATGGCAAGGATCAATGTCAAAGTTGACTGACTCACTGTTCTTGTACAGCATGTGGTGTATTCCTGTTTTCGTACATCCTGAGAAATCAAGCAAACAGTTCGAGTCCTTCCAGCTCCGTTATTCTAGCTCGTATCGACCCCGGAGGTTTTCGAGCCGACAGCTGAGAATCTCTGCTACCTTGTAGGTGTTTCGATTGTGGAATTCGGTTGAGATTTGACTGAGCTATGACTCGTTGAGTGCTCTTGCACACATGGCATTGCCACCGTTTGTATACATTTGGGACCAAAAAAAGTTTCAGAATTTGGGAAAAAGTGGCCCGGTCGGGCGACCGGAAACAAGGTCATTATTTGTTTTGGCCTTATTGGATGATGGGACGTTGAATTTGAAGGTGATTTTCAAAGTTTCGCTCTTTGTTTTACCTTCGACACTACTGGCTACACTTTTCTTTGGAGAGTCACCAAAATTCAAGGGCAGCTGGTCTTGAGCCTGCCTCTTTAGACGCTTCGACGAACTCTAAGACAGCTCAAAAAGCACGAACCGCGACAACAATTACAGCACTGCACGGCCACTATTCAGAAACTAGTATTTGAAACTTACTATCGAAGTTTCCGCAGCAGCTCAACAAACGCATGCACCTCTTTCTCTGAAGCGAACGCGTAGCTGTATATTCAGTGCAGATTTACTTTACTTTGTATTATCTACTGGTACGTTCAAGACAACAATGTACAACGTCATGTAAATCTACCAAGTTGCATAGCTAGCGGACTGCTCTGGCCTTGGCCGACTGGGCCATAGCATGGGGTGCACACGTCGCATGGGCATGGTGTAGTGGTCACACCCGAACTATGGTGGGAAAAATCAGGGGGGGGGGGGGGGGGGTTCGTTCGAACTCCCCGACCCCCCCCCCCCCTGGATCCGCCCCTGCGCACACACATGCATACATACATACAAAGTTACAAACACACACACACACACACACACACACACCCTGCAGGGAATAATTCACTTTCAATATTTTGCCTACGCAAAATCAAACTTGAATAGCAATTCCAAAATGTTGCGTAGCAATTTTCTTCAACACTTGACAACCGTCCTTCTGCAGAGCTGATCAGAGTGCAAGCTCAGACCACAAATACACTGTAACACCTTAGTTGCAAACCTAGCCTGGTGCCACGATGCAGAGCTCGGCACTTTCGAAGTTTCCTGCATCTATTTTATCCCTAAGAAACACACCCGGCATGTGCACTGTGCATCATAGGGTACAGCGAACAATCAATATGCATCGCAGTTTTCTGCGACACATTTCTGAAGCTGCTTCGCACCTCAGAAGAATTGCGTAGCAAACTGCGATGCGATACCGGTTAAATTATTCCCTGCACACATACACACATCGCTCATTGAGCCCAGTCATAACAGAGAGGCAGTACCTGTGCTGCTCATTCCACCACTGTGCGGTGGCTAATGCAGCTCACTCAGAGACACATAAACAGGGACACCGGACATCGGCCGCACATTCTGCTGCTTACCTCTCCTGTCGGCGACGCGTGTCCGGAGATGGAGACCTGGCTGGCCTGCTACACAGTAAAGAGCAAAACACACCCACACGTACATACGCATGCACACACATACACGCACACATGCGCACGCACGCACACGCGCGCACACACACACACACACACATCACACATCACACATCACACATCGTTCATTGAGCCCAGTCATAACAGAAAGGCAGTGGCTGTGCTGCTCATTCCACCACTGTGCGGTGGCTAATGCAGCTCACTCAGAGACACACAAACAGGGACACCGGACATCGGCCGCACATTCTGCTGCTTACCTCTCCTGTCGGCGACGCGTGTCCGGAGATGGAGACCTGGCTGGCCTGCTACACAGTAAAGAGCAAAACACACCCACACGTACATACGCATGCACACACATACACGCACACATGCGCACGCACGCACGCACACACACACACACACACACACACACACACATCACACATCGCTCATTGAGCCCAGTCATGACAGAGAGACAGTGGCTGTGCTGCTCATTCCAGCACTGTGCGGTGGCTAATGCAGCTCACTCAGAGACACACAGACAGAAACAACGGACATCATCCCCGGCCGCACATTCTACTTACCTGTCCTGTCGGCGTCGTGCGTCCGGAGATGGAGACCTGCCTGGCCTGCTACACAGTAAAGAACAAAGCAGTCAAACACACGCGCACACACGTACCCACGCACCCACACACAGACACCGAAGAAATCCATTTTTCTTCCTTTCTTTATCCATGGGAGATTGTGAGTTTGAGCGCATGAGTGCAGGATGCGATGCACTGACCCATAAAAAGAGTTGCATACTCTTGGTGTGAGTTATCTATCGGGGTAAATACTACTTCCTCCAGAAACAAAACAACTTCATGACTTTTATTCACATGACAGGAGTTGCTGTGCTCAAGAAATTTGGTTAGTGAAACAAAAACACTGCAAGACAATGAGTGGATATACATGTACTCCTGAACAAGGAAATACAACCTCATGAATAAAATAGAGCGGGGAACTCCGCACCCCTAACACCACACACGCTATTCATAGCACTCGAACGCCGGGCTACTTTATTCATAAGGTCCAAGCTCTCTGGCCAGAACGGTGCTTCTGTGAAGTACAGTAAAACCTGCCCTAACCGGACGCCCTTGGTGCAGCGCAATCCGTCCCGATACGAGAGGATTCCGCTTGGTCCAGGGACGCATGTTCGATGCACAGCATGTTTGTGCATGAAAATTTGTCCGGTCAATACAGGATTCCGCTTGGTACAGGGTCCGGCAAATGCAGGCTTCAGTGCATGTACACAGTCATACAAAAGAAATTGGCACCGATTCAGCTCACTCAAAGTCACCATTGATTCTTCAGAGCTGAAATCACCCGGACTGACAGGTCAGTCGAAGTCACGGAACAAAGTGTTCGTTTCCGGAGGGAATACTATGGCTCTGTTTCCCAGGGCACGTACCTTTCCTTGCCACGCTGCCTCTCGGGCCTCGGAGAAGAAGAGGCAGCAGATCTGCAAAGGCGCACGCACAAGAGAACACAGAGTCACAGACACAGCACTGTGACAGCAGTACAGGGGTCAGCTGACAAGACACAGCTAGTCGCAGTCCACCACGGGTATACATTGACGTCAAACCCGCCTTATATGGAAGCTAGCTGAGAGGCAAAATGCCCATTTACGGGTTAAGAGCATACAGAAAATCCATGTAGGGAAGAGCTTGAGTGACAAACGTAGGATGTGACATGCATTGCATATCCTCTACACCACTGTACCAACTGAGATTTTCCTGCGTGTACCTTGCACCACTAAACATCACATCCAAACTGACTGCTTGAAGGCAACTTACTGCTGTCGTCTCTGACGCTGCTCTGGTTCTTGCCTTGGTGATCGAGCTCTGACAGCACACAACACCAAAGACAAAAGGCCACATGCAAAACAATGTACAGTTGTGCCAAGTGATACGCAGATCAATGTACAATTCCAGGAAGAGAGAGGGAGAGAGAGAGAGAGAGAGAGAGAGACAGAGAGAGAGACAGAGAGAGAGAGAGACAGAGAGAGAGAGAGAGACAGAGAGAGATAGAGCGAGGGAGATAGATAGATAGATAGATAGATAGATAGAGAGAGAGAGAGAGAGAGAGAGAGAGAGAGAGACGCACACACACGCCCACGCACACACACACACACACACACACACACACACATAAACACACCGAGGCAGCAATGGTATTCAGTTGCTCACCTGTCTCTACGACGTGGTGGTGGTTCAGGAGAAGCAGATGGTGACCTAAAGAGAACGGCAGCCAACCAACAGCACAGAAAAAATACTGCAGTCAAGACACTAACATGTACATGTATAGAAGGTGAGCTATGACATCATCGATATTCTGCATAGGGAATAGGTCAGCCACAGCGAGCTATGACATCATCGGTATTCTGCATAGGGAACAGGTCAGCCACAGTGAGCTATGACATCGTCGATATTCTGCATAGTGAACAGGTCACCCACTCGTACCCACCAGGCCAATGCACACTCGTCCTGCTTGCTCCAGGCTGGTATTTGTACGGCACATCAATGTTTCAACACTGATGTTGTTTCAACACTGATGTCGAGAAAAACTATGCAAACCCGTTGACTATTGGTCAGTTGCGTCGAAGCTTCTTGCTTGTCACCACGCCACACACCTGACACTGAACCAGAGTATGGCAGGCACATTCACAGACGAATACAAGACAGGCCCGGCGGAACCGGTCCGGTTGGTCAGGCCATGGCCGGACCAACCTTTTGGCTACCAACGTGTGTTTACTGCTGAGGAGGTCATGTGTATACCCTCCAATGGCTCCATATCATACACAAACTGTATGAAAGGCTAGGGTATGGCGGGACCGATGAAAAAACTGCTTTCGTCAGTCCTGCCCGAGTACAGTAAAACCTGTCTAAGGCGACCCCTCAAGGGACGAGAAAAAGTGGTCGCCGTGGTCAGGTGGTCTTCTTATCCAGGTTCAGTGGGTCACGTGACCATATCCACATGTGATACATCGTTTTGATCAGTGCATCACAGTGCGCTAGTGCACACGCCTATGCTACTCTAGCATGACTCATGTGCCTGGGGTCGTCAGACCTATCAGACAAATGTCGTGCATTCACCACTAGTATTAGCACTAGCTATAACGTAGATCTCCACAGTTCCTGCACTGATGTGTAGATCTACCATGCCTGGTGCACCGTGCAATGCGTACATTTACATGACTAGCACTGTGCAACGCGGTCGCGGGTGGGTGGTCGTCGGTCGCGTTGAGCGAGTGGTCGCCTTATCCGAGGTGTTTTGAATGTGAATGCGTCCGTGACAAGGAAAAGTGGTCGTCATATCCGAGTGGTGGCCATTACAGGTTTTACTGTCTTACTGTATAGTCTAGATCACTGCTTCAGAGTACTGCGGGACAAGGGCTCAATTACCTTTCCTTGCGACGACGCCTCTCCTGCCTGGGCGGTGGTGACGGTGATGCAGACCTGAACGTGTGCACACACACACACACACACATGCACGCACGCACGCACACACACACACACACACACACACACACACACACACACACACACACACACACACACACACAAATTCATGCCAACATTTGGTAAAACACCCATGTGCACTTGTTGCAAGCTCTTTTCCAGCATCCAAGACTTACAGAGTCACATAACATACCTCTGCAAAGCCATGGAAATCCACGGTGACATTAAACACTAGCAGTACACTATATTGATGACCTATAGAGAGATACATTGTATCAATGGTGACTTACTTCTGTTGTCGTCGCCGCCTTGGGGGTTCTGGCTCTTGCTCGGGTGACCGTGCCCTGGTAACACACGAGTATGCCATGATATCAGATAAACCTTGTATTGTAGAAACACGCTTTTAGTTTGACAGCATATTACAAGGTGGTGGACACAAGGTTGTAGTGAGGGACACTGTTTCCGAACACGGTGTTCCACCGCTCTGTAATATGCTGTCAGACTACTGAGCGACACAGGACAAGTGCATAGCATCTTCATCGTAAGAGTGTGCATGTACACGTACTCTGCTGGATCAGCTAGTGCAGCCGCACTACCTCTGCCTATCGTGTAGACAAGAGTATGTGACTACCCAGGCGTATGCAACTTCACTATCGTCTATGGGTGCTGTCCCGACAGAATTTCAAGTTGATATCATTTTCACGATGCAGTGCGTACGTACTGTCAGACGTGTCCTAGACCTGTGGTGGACAAAGTCGCATTTCATCCTGTACAAAATTACTAGTAGTTTTAAGGAAACACGTGTGATGCGTTGACATGACGTAAATCGCTGGTGCAAGGAGCATTGCATCGTAAGAAAGAAGTCAACTTGAAATTCTGCCGGGACAGCAGCGTGTGCGGGGGGTTGCACTCTCCTGGTGGAGGTCAGTGAAGCCCCAATCCCGGACCCACTCCCTACACCCTACACCCTGCACCAAGTAGTCCTTGCCACACGGGGCAGTGTAGAAGACATTGCCAAAATCGACTCGCAGCACAGCTCTTGAGTCGTGCGTTGGATTTCACTGGCCAGAACTAGGTTAGAAAGCGGTGTGACGTGAAACCCAGACACATGCCCACTGTGACAGGCGCAGATCGATTTCGATGACACTATGCATATGTGGGCATAAGCACTGTACTGCGCTTTGTTGATCAAGGCGACATGCGGACTGTTCTATTATTTTGATATACAGTGAAACCTGTCTAAGACGACCACTCAGGGGACATTCAAAATGTGGCCGCCATTGCCAGGTGGTCTCCTTATGCAGGGTCATTTGACTGGAAATAGCATCCCTTGGTCCTGGTTGCATTGGTCTTCTTGGACAGGTGGTCGCCTTATCCGAGTGGTCACCTTGACAGGTTTTACTGTACTACCATTGTATATGTGGGACTCAGTGACCGATCAGTCCCCGTGACCAATCATCCAGTCACAAACACCCGGTGAGCAGTACAAACTGTCACCGAGTCACGGACTGGGTTTTTTTTGTCCGGATGACCAGTCACAAAGAGTACGCGACTTCCCCTGTGAGCGATCACAAAATCACGATCCAAACGAGAGAGCTTGGAAGCTCAGGGCCCTACGCTATGCTTTTTGCCTTGATGGCCTAGACAAAAAAAAGCATTGGGATGTTATAAATTCTTTAAAAATTCCTTTTTTTCAAGACATAACCTGGGATTCGAACCCGCACTATCGCGCCCTGCATGCATCCCCCGATACACTTCGCATACATACTAACTCTTCCAAGTTGCTTCACATTATGACCTTGCATTTGAAAGCCCTATGTGAATATGCATTGTGGCCAGCCGTCTTTGATGGTACGGTACGGAAGGGATAAGTACTGGAGAGGTACGATCGAGGGTAATACGACACCGTCTCCCGTACCGTACCATCAAACACAGCTGGCCACATACAGCTGCCCGCAATATTCAAATAGGGCTTTCAAACGCAAGATCATAACGTGAAGCAACTTGTAAGAATGGGTATGAATGCGAAGTGTATGGGGGAATGCATGTAGGGCGATAGTGCGGGTTCGAATCCCAGGATATGCCTGAAAAAATAGGAGAATTGAAAAATTTATAACATCCCTATGATTTTTTGCCGTCAGATACGGGATAGCGTCAGGCGTGACACAAACAAACAAACAAACACACAAACAAACAAATACCAAATTAAAGCTGTGTGGACCCTGGCTAGCGCCAGACGTTACTGAAGTAACGTCTTCTGCATAGCTACGGGAATAATTACTATGACTGTATGGCCGGTGTTGGCATGTGCAGCATGGCTCACGGTCATCCACCACGAGGCTCTCCTTTTTGTGATGCATCCAGGGAGGTAGGTATTGTACTACTCCCTGGATGCATCCACTTCGATACTTCCTGTTCCAGTGGCAGGCAGTGGTTTTTTGAGGTGGCAGTTTTTTTTTGTCATGATGGCAGATGACATGCATGTATGTTGTAAATGTATGAGCCCCGTACACACTCCCCTACACATATTCATGCACTCCCCTACACAATATTCATGCACTCCCTGCCGACCCCGTTTCCCGCTCACCCTGTCTCGCTAACTGCATGCACCCCTTTTCCCGCTCACCCTGTCTCGCTTAATGTACGCACCCCTTTTCCCGCTCACCCTATTCCCACTTACTGCATGCACCCCTTTTTTTCCCCTCCATAGCTTTAGATATACCCTGAAGGCTGCGCTTGCGCAGGCTGATCGATGTCCTTGTGCTATTCTCCTAGTCTGGACCTCTTGTTCTCCCAGTCTAGTCTTTTGTGCTATTCCAGTCCTTGTTCTAGTTGTTCCAGTCTCTTTCCTCGAGATAATATAACCATTCTGAAAGCCCTACGAGTGTACTGAGAATAGTAGTAACAAGAGTGGTTGTAGTTAGTGGTCCTTATTTGATTACAGGTATACAGTCATCTAGAGGCTAGAGGTTATGCGATACCGACAAATCCGCCATATATAGGAGCCAGTTGGGGTGGCAAAATGCCCAAAGCGGGCACAGAAACCCCTTATATAGAAGAATTTGGGGTGGCAATGACGTGTATCGCATAACCACTTATAGGATCGGTACGAAGGCCAGAGCCATTCCCAAAACCAAAGACCGTGGTGCAGACCGCTTTTGGAGCGTGATGGCAGAAACCACGACGGCGTGCCAAATAAAGGCGAAGAACCCCAAATGCGGGGAAAGGAAGATTTCTGCCGAAATCAAGGACTGATCAAGGCCTGATCGTGACGGAGTCTCAAATCCAAAAGGTATTGCGATGCTTACTTATTTGACCTGGAAGAGAACGCACTGTTCTATAAGTCCACAGAACTGAATGAAAAGCATCGCCTTTGTGTGTCGCGAGAAAGGCTCGTGGAGTTGCTGCAGAAGGAGCACCAGCGGGACCACCGGCATGCCGAAACTTGCTACGGCATTGCCACTACTACCCGGTGGTCCGTGAGAACATCATCGCTCTGTGTGAGGAGCACGTGAAAAGTACGGCATGTCAACGCCAGGCTCCCCTGCCGAAAACGTCGTTGGTTCGCCGATCCATCTTGGCCACGTACCCAAATTCGCGATGGCAGATGGATTTGAAGAAGTTGCCTTCCGTACGTGGCTTTAAGTATGTGTGCAACATCGTGGACTGCTACTCTAGGTTCACGTTGGGTGCAGGCATCAAGTCCAAGTCTGCAAAGGATGTATGTGCAGTGGTGCTCAAATGCATTTATGCATATGGCCCACCAAGGATCCTGCAGACGGACAATGGCAGGGAGTTCAACAACGCCAGCTTGGCTCAGGCACACATTATGTGTATGAGTGTACAGTGTATGGACGAACTCAACTGGCAGTTGATCCGTATTTGGGTGCTTCGTACACATCAACCAGTGTGGGTGTTCCGTGCACCCAATCTTGGCGGAGCAGCTGGTACAGCAGCACTTGTTGGCAAGTGGCGTGAAGGAACTGTGCTCCGTCACGTTATGGTGAGCCTGGGAACTTCATGCTATATGAAGTGGAGGCTGAGGACGGCTCATTCAAATCTTCCTTTGCTGCAGCTCATGTAAAGCCCAGATCGACATCGCCAGCCAAAATGTGGTGCAGCCAACGGGATTTCCCCATGCCATCTGACTGGGTGAACAAGGCTACTCCAGTCAGACAATTCACCCCCTCCTCGTCTTGAAGCGTGGTCTTCACATTGTCGATAGCATCGCTTGGCGCGGCGTAAAGAGTGATACTGGCAGTTGATCCGTATTTGGGTGCTTCGTACACATCAAACAGTGTGGGTGTTCCGTGCACCCAATCTTGGCGGAGCAGCTGGTACAGCAGCACTTGTTGGCAAGTGGCGTGAAGGAACTGTGCTCCGTCACGTTATGGTGAGCCTGGGAACTTCATGCTATATGAAGTGGAGGCTGAGGACGGCTCATTCAAATCTTCCTTTGCTGCAGCTCATGTAAAGCCCAGATCGACATCGCCAGCCAAAATGTGGTGCAGCCAACGGGATTTCCCCATGCCATCTGACTGGGTGAACAAGGCTACTCCAGTCAGACAATTCACCCCCTCCTCGTCTTGAAGCGTGGTCTTCACATTGTCGATAGCATCGCTTGGCGCGGCGTAAAGAGTGATACTGGCAGTTGATCCGTATTTGGGTGCTTCGTACACATCAAACAGTGTGGGTGTTCCGTGCACCCAATCTTGGCGGAGCAGCTGGTACAGCAGCACTTGTTGGCAAGTGGCGTGAAGGAACTGTGCTCCGTCACGTTATGGTGAGCCTGGGAACTTCATGCTATATGAAGTGGAGGCTGAGGACGGCTCATTCAAATCTTCCTTTGCTGCAGCTCATGTAAAGCCCAGATCGACATTGCTAGCCAAAATGTGGTGCAGCCAACGGGATTTCCCCATGCCATCTGACTGGGTGAACAAGGCTACTCCAGTCAGACAATTCACCCCTCCTCGTCTTGAAGCGTGGTCTTCACATTGTCGATAGCATCGCTTGGCGCGACGTAAAGAGTGATGGTCTAGCCAGGAAGAGTGTTGACGAAATTCTGCATTCCACCACAGAGACGAAGTACCAAGTGAAGAGTGGACTCCTGCTGAATGTTGTAGTCACTCAGGGTTCGGCAGTCTGCCAACTGCGTGCCGGCGAAAATCAAACGCTGCTGGTCTTGGGGAATACCCTCCTTGTCTTGGTCAGCAGCCTGCCTGTCGTCGTCCTCATCAGCTTCGCCATCACCACCGGTAGTATACATGTAGGTAGCGGGTCGCTTGGAATCGCCATCGGAGTCTCCAGTGTGTGCCGTGCGGAGAGAGGGTGATCCACGCTAGCACCCTGACTGTGCTGCAGGCTAATAAGCAGGGCCAAGCCTAGGAAGGCAAGAAACATGATTCTCATCTTGATTCGTCGCACGGAGCTGCAGCGGGTTGAGCCATGGTGGTCTGGGGTCGAATCACGTTGATTTATTTATTCGTGAAAATTATCGGTAATTCCGGATAGCCCCTACTACAAACACTCTCAACGAAAAAGAAATAATTTATAAATACAGGGATGAATTTATTGTCATATTTTTGCATAGCAGTTTCTTCTATACAAAATCACAATTGTGCAGCAGTCTTTGATTTTGATTAGCATTTTTCTTTGAAGGTTGGGTGTTTACCACATTGTCCTTCTTGAGAGTGATGCCTGAAAGCCCATTTGCAAAAAAATCGACTGAATCATACATGTGCACGCAGATTGAGAGTGCCTGCACCACATACACTGCACTGTATGCATGTTACTTGACAGCACAGGCTAGGCATGGATAATCTGTATGTATCGCAGTTTTCTGCGAGTCACGGTGACTTTTGAGCAGCAGTAGGTCGATCTTGCATCGCAAACTGCGACGCGATACTGGATAAATTTATCCCTGATTTATAGAGGTCACAACTGTACGTAACATTCTGCCTGGGACTGCTTACAGGGAAATATAGCGGTCACAGCTGTACATTCAGCCTGTGACTGCTCACAGGGAATTCTGCAGTACAAATCACTCGGTGAGCAGTCACGAACTGTGTGCTCTACACATGTATGCACAGCAAATGTGTGTAGAGCACACAGTGCGTATAGTGATTTGTGACTAGCCATGGAGTGTTGTGACTGGTAACACAATTTGTGACTGGTCATGGGGGGGGGGGGGGACTGCTTGACTGGTCACGGGGACCGTGATTGGTCATGGGGCCTTGACTGGTCACTGAGTCCTACATATATCTTCTTCTGGAGAGAGCACTCCCAGGATACTGAGTCTGGGTGGTAGTGATCATCACTCCGGATTCCATTTTACCTTCCATATACCGTAAAATACCATTGACCCCCCCCCCATGGCCATGTCGCTTCCCAGCTGGGTTTTCGGCAGGGGGTGGGAATTAGATCAAGGCTATGTCAAGTGCAGTACGATGTACAACAATGTGGAAGATCAGACTCGATGTGCTGGATTGTGCATATTTTCATCCTGGATTGGCACGTATCGTGTACAGCAGTGCATGCGTCGGTTCAACATCGTATTTCGCTGTATACGCCGAAGTCGCTTCACAAGTAGAACATCGACAGGGGGCGGGAATTAGAGAGGGGGCGGATCAACGGTACTTTACGGTACTGTAAGGCGGCAAATTTTCAGCTCGTTAAATTTTAGCCTCCATCGGCGATACTCCTTTTCAGCCGCATTAAATTTCAGCCTGTGTGGCTTCTGCCCGCATACACTACTATACGGAATCATGTCAATAAAAATTTCAGCCGCAGCTTATTTTAGGCCTCAAAGAGTAAAGCCGAAAATAAACATGCGCCAAATATGTCGATTTACAGTACACTATATTCGGAGAAGCACAGGAAAGAGTATGGACGTGACACATACCTTTCACGGCGCTGCCGGCGTGGAGGAGAGGGAGATGGTGACTTTCTTCTGTGACTGTAAACACACGCACGCACACACACGCACGCACACACCCACGCACGAACACATCCACACACACTTGTACTTGCTCGCTACCAGAAACTGGTCACGTGGGTCTCCCCGGGAGAGGGGAGAGAAATTCAAAAGGAATCTTGGAAAGATGACTCAAACGGCTACTGAACCAAGGTCTACAAAATCGTCCCCCCCCCCCCCCAAATAAAAAGAAAGAAAGAAAAAATAAATCAACTCAACTGTCCGTCTTGAATTCTCACGGTAAAGGGACAATCTGTTATGCTTGGTCTGAGAAACATTCCATAAGTAAAACAGAGTTACCATGCCTGCTTCAAGTTGGTGAAATGTGTAGAGTGGTGACCTACCTATCCCTGCGACGCACTGGCTCAGGAGATGGTGATCTAAAGGCAACACACAAGACACAAACACCAGGGGCGTTGGACACGTGTCGGTCACTACGGTATTGACCATACTACTTTTCGTCTCAAGCACCCCGTGAATCAATAAAATACACTGAATTTCCAAAATATTCGCCTCAGCAACCCCTCCCTGCTAGTAAATTGTACTACAGATGGCTGACCGTACCACACTAAAATACTTTCCGACATCCCTGAACACACATGTGCATGCAGAGAAAAGCACGTTGACTTAGGCACACAGACATGCAGTGTGTGTTGATAGTTGGTACATGCACACAGGCCTGCTTATACATGTCTCCTCTTCAAGCAGGGAAATATCGAGAGACCATGCCAAACTCTCTGTCTCCGTCTCCCTCTCCTTCTCATACAGAACACTAAAGGGCTGCTCACTGAAATCTGATCGCATGAGTCAAGTACGTGAGCGTCGGGTGCCGTGCAGCCCTAGACTTGCGACAACTGGGATGCGAACTGGTACAGTGCAGCGGGGTGCAAACGTTATCTCACGCCTTTGGATTTCATTGAGCAGCACTGTACTAAACAGCATCCACACACGAAGAGAAAACACTCACCTGTTTCTCCTCGCTCTTGGCTCAGGCGAACGGGACACTGATGGACTCCTACAAAAACGAAACGAACAAGTCAACAACAGGTACAAACACAAGTCAATCATCGCACCACAAGTACGGTAACTAAACGTCACTTGGAGACTAGCTTAGATTGTCGGGTAGCGCAACAGCAGTGTCTTGTTTCATACACCACCTGACATGGTTCTGTAAGTTAAGCTGGCAAATACTAATAGTGCCGAGTGGCCAGCAGAGAGTTGAACCAAAACAGGATTGCATAGGTTGCGAACAACCCAGTATCTATCATGCACAGCGTGCAAATACTGCGCACGGACTTGTCACGTGATGTGAAGTTCTGCCGTCGTCACAGACCCCATAGACGGGAGTTGCACACTCCCAGGGTTATGTACTCTTACAGATGTGCTCGCAATATGCCCTGGGCTACAGTGCTGGGAGTATCCTGGCACACACACACACACACACATTCAACTGTTACTAGAAACTACAGGGTCGTCATCGGGTAGAAGGATACCCGTGCTACCCGTAATTAGAGCGGGTATTCGGCTAGCAGGTTGCTCCTGAGAACCGGTATTTTCGCAACGGTGCATGTAAAAAGCATGGCTATATGCTTACTGTACAATTTCTATGCCACTCACAGAACGAACTATGTCAAAAATATACCCGATAGAGTACCCGTGCTACCAGGATAGAAATACCCGAACTCGTTACCCGACCAAACCCCTACCGGTTGCAGCCCTACTAGTAACATGCCAACAATTCACTATTCACAGAATACGCTGTGTCTCTCACCAACTAGCAGTATTATAAAGTCTTTTCATTTTGAATAATGGTACAGTGAAATGAGTGAGTTGTGAACTGAGTTGTGAATTTGCAGTGTCCAGAGAAAGAGCATGCGTGCTTTCCATTTCTCTTTTCATTTTCAGTTTTGTTTTGTTTATCATTCTCTGACCAGCACAAGTGAATAGTGTGGGTACTGTAGTGTCTCAACACAGCTGACCTGGATGCCAAAATGCATATCTTATTATTATTACTGTATTATCCGGAGTACATGCCACACTAGAGTATACACCGCACTCCCCATTTTTGCAACACAAAATACAGACATCTACCTTATTTATCACCATTAATTTGATCATCGGAGTATAAGCTGCACCCCTTTTTTCGGGTGAATTTTGAGTGTTCAATGTGCGGCTTATACTCTGGAAAATATGGTACACACTCACGGGCTCGGCGCGGCTTTCTTTCGTCGGCGTCGCTTCTCCGGTTCGCTAGAGCTGCTTCTGCAAGAACGACACAGCAAACGGTGACAGGAACAGAGGCGGTGATATTGCAGCTGCAAAGACATCATGTTCGGGTGGAGATCTACCATTTACTGTTAGCGCATACAGCGCTAAACGTGTGCAGGGCCAAACACCCACAGGGTGAAGAAAGAGCCAGTCTATAACGGGGAGCCAAGATATATGGGCTGTTGGAGCGCTATATATGGTAGTGTGCTGGGGCACACATGTCATTACCCTACTCAAGGTTAACTAATGAGGGGGTGAAATCCCCTGAACCCTGTATATTGAGCAGAAGGGAGTGGTGCTTTATTGCAGGTTTGAAGGGAGTGGTGCTTTCTGGCAGTGCTCAATCAAAACAAAAGGGTTTCCGATCGTGGATTCTGTTTTTTTTTGGTTTGAAAACAACTTTAGAACATAGCAATTCAGCCGTACCTGTGTCGCCTGTGTCTCGGCTCTGGTTCAGATGATGGTGATCTTGCCCTGGACACACACACAAACGAACACACAGATACGCAGAAAGATAAATATAGCAATATCGATTCACCATCCCACTATGAGCAATCCGGCCACCAAGTTAACACTGTGAGGTAAGAATTTTCAAATCCCCGCTTACATAATATACTGCATGTAAGTACAAGATAGGAGCAGAGATAGAGGGTTGGTAGAGGAGAGGTGTAGGGCATAATGACAATAGCAATACTTGTGATCAAGCTTGCAAATTGGCTGCAAAAACTGGATCAACCCCAGCAACAGAGATATTCAACCAGATTGCAAACAGTGTGCACGCATGCATGCATGATATACACCCCTCCCCTCGCGCCGTCTCTCTCAGTCCGTCTCTCTCAGTCCGTTTCTCTCTCTCTCTCTCTCTCAGTCCGTCTCTCTCTCTCTCTCTCTCAGTCCGTCTCTCTCTCTCTCTCAGTCCGTCTCTCTCTCTCTCTCTCTCACTCCGTCTCTCTCACTCCGTCTCTCTCACTCCGTCTCTCTCACTCCGTCTCTCTCACTCCGTCTCTCTCTCTCTCTCTCTCTCTCTCTCTCTCTCTCTCTCTCTCTCTCTCTCTCTCTCTCTCTCTCTCATTGTCTGAAATGGCTGAGCCACACAACAGGAACAATACAGACGGATACTGATATCTTTAACATTCCGGCAAGTCAATGTCTTCCTCAGAAATGAGTTGGTCGGTCTCTCTGCCTGTGTGTGTGTGTTTATGTGTGTGTGTGTGTGTGTGTGTATGTGTGTGTGTGTGTGTGTGTGTGTGTGTGTGTGTGTGTGTGTGTGTGTGTGTGTGTGTGTGTGTGTGTGTGTGTGTATGTATGTGTGTGTGTGTGTGTGTGTGTGTGTGTGTGTGTGTGTGTGTGTGTGTGTGTGTGTGTGTGTGTGTGTGTGCGTGTGTGTGTATGTGTGTGCACAAGTTGCTATGTCTAACATAGCTGTTCGCTATCATCGCTTCCGCGATGGGCAGGTCTGAGGTCTGAGGTGTGTGTGTGTGTGTGTGTGTGTGTGTGTGTGTGTGTGTGTGTGTGTGTGTGTGTGTGTGTGTGTCTGTCTGTCCGTCTATCTGCCCGTCTATCTGTCAAACTGCCCATCTGTGTGCGTGTGTGTCTGTCTGCCTGTATATCTATCTGTCTGTCCGTCCGTCGTTTGTCTGTCTGCCCGTCTGTCTATCTGTCTCTCCCTCTCGTTCCAACGCACCTCTTTTTCTTCTTTCTCCTTGGTTCAGGCTCCTCTGGTGATGGTGATGGACTTCTGCAACAGAGCATGACACATATCACACACTGTGTTAGAGTTGCAGACCAAAGCCTGTCCCGTCCTGTGACCAATGTCAAAAAGGATCATCCCTGTGTACATGGGGCTAAGACGACGACGGGCATTTCCACGTCCACATATCCACGGATGTGCCAAGTGGCAGTACAGTCATGGCCTTCATGCTGCACTTACACATGTGCTAATGTGACCAGCTGACAGGGGGCACCCAAACATGGGGGGGGGGGGCACTCAAACATGGGGGGGGGCACTCAAACATGGACACACCTATGCATTCGTTGAGGAGACTTTTTGAGAGTGTAAGTATGTGCATGTACATGACTGCATACCACGCATGCACACACTTGTAACGTACACGTGATGAACGCGCAAGCACGAACATAAAAATCAATCAGAACCAAATCAGAGCCAACGCTTAAAGTGTCTCAACATGAGCAGGCTCCACTGCAGCCACCCATTCCAAATTTATTCTTTTTTTTCAGTGATTGGTGTAGCCCAACGATCGCTTGGAGAGTGTTGTCAGGGTGTATGGTTAACACTCAAGGTGGAAACTCAAACGGGAGTGCCATAATTGCTGGGAGAAAAAAAGCCAGCAATAACGCCGGGTATGACATAAGCCCCCCCCCCCCCCCCCCGACACACACACATGCACGCACAAACAGACAACAGAAATCAAATATTTGTTCAAGTCGCCTGAACGTACCTCCTATGGCAATACTGTACAAACAACTATTGTCATCACACAGGTAATTGCCACTGGACCCACAGCAGACACCGGAACTGCAGGGTCCTCTCACCGTTTCTTGCGCCTCCTTCGTTCAGGCTCGGGCGATGCATTCCTGAAACACGGCAACAACCACAATGAAAGGAAAACAGGACAATACAGGTAGACTCCCTTTAATTCGAACCTCAAATTGCCAGGCCCTAACTTCGAATTATCCAGAACTTCTAATTATCCAAATGCAGCCCCATGCACTGATATGTATGTCAAAATGCTTGAAATCGCATGCTGAATATTTTTTCCACATTTTTATTTGCATCAACGAAACATAGGTGGTCGTACCGGTCATGTACAACCAAGAGCCCATAATTACGTGTATGCACTCAGTACTCTTGCCTTGGTACAACGGATCATTCAAAACACTGGATCGACACAAAATCATTTTGACATTATCTTCATCTTCTAGTGAAGAAGTTGTCAGTCACTGCAGCTTTCCTGAAACAATTTCAACGGAAAAGAACTGCGCTGCGTAATCCGCGTCATGAAAGGCCGTCCGTCGGACAGCAGCACGTCGTTCTGAAGAACGGAAGTGAAGCATAGGCTAGGCATAGACAATATTTACAACAATAGTGTTGTTGTGCGCCAACATCTCCGCGCACGAGCTGGCGCGGTAAGGAAGGCCATCGAGATCTGCGAAGAGAGTCAGCCACCTGGAAGAAGTCGTCTTCAATCAAACCTTTGCAATTTGCCTCGCACGGGCTTGAATCAAATTTTGAGAGAAGGTGGGTTTCTTGAACGCTATAGTCGATCCTGCAGCGGACCATCGATCGATTTTTGAGCTACTCTTGGCTAGAGAAGGAGAAAAGAATGAACTTCGAATTACAAGGATAGCAACTCAATCTCACTTCGAAATAAGCGTTCAAAGGACATAGCCAATGTACTGTAAACAGCTCTTCTGTACGAAGACTGGGTTCGAATTATCCAACCGGCGCACTTTTCGTACTTCGAATTATGCATTCGATTTTGACTTGAAGTGACTTGCATGCAGAAGATCGGAACGACGAAAAGGTTCGAATTACGGGTACACGGAATGTTCGAATTATACCGTATTCGAATTAGAGGGAGTCTACCTGTACAGTGAGCTGCTATTTGTGTCGTTGCTGCTGCTGCTGCTGCTGCTGCTGCCGCTGCTGCTGCCGCTGCTGCTGCTGCTGCTGCTACTGCTACTGATGTCGTTGCTGTTTACTGCCGCTGCTACTGCTGTCGTAATAGCAATACAGCGAAACGTCAGCCAGCAGAATAAAAGAAAGCTGGATATCATAATTTCACAAGCTGCCGCTGCTGCCGCTGCTGCTGCTACTGATGTCGTTGCTGTTTACTGCCGCTGCTACTGCTGTCGTAATAGCAATACAGCGAAACGTCAGCCAGCAGAATAAAAGAAAGCTGGATATCATAATTTCACAAGCTGCCGCTGCTGCCGCTGCTACTGATGTCGTTGCTGTTTACTGCCGCTGCTACTGCTGTCGTAATAGCAATACAGCGAAACGTCAGCCAGCAGAATAAAAGAAAGCTGGATATCATAATTTCACAAGCTGCCGCTGCTGCCGCTGCTGCTGCTACTGATGTCGTTGCTGTTTACTGCCGCTGCTACTGCTGTCGTAATAGCAATACAGCGAAACGTCAGCCAGCAGAATAAAAGAAAGCTGGATATCATAATTTCACAAGCTGCCGCTGCTGCCGCTGCTGCTGCTACTGATGTCGTTGCTGTTTACTGCCGCTGCTACTGCTGTCGTAATAGCAATACAGCGAAACGTCAGCCAGCAGAATAAAAGAAAGCTGGATATCATAATTCCACAAGCTATAAAGAAAGAAAAAGTTCTTCAACCGCCCTATCTAATGCTACACCTGTCATCCAACCTTAGACATACAGTAGAGCTGGTGAGTCAGAGAGCTTGATATAGGCTTCAGTAGCACTAAACACAAAGTTAATCTTGTAACACGGCTACCCCGCAGACACGCTTGCACAGACACCCTACTAGACGCACAAGAACGCATATGCACACACGCGCATGTGTACATGCGCAAAGATGTGCACGTGCACATACGCACACACATGCATGCACACACACGTGCACACACAGACACAGACACACAGACACATGTGCACACATACACACACACACACACACACACACATGCACACACACACACATGCACACACACACACGCGCGCGCGCTCGCACACACACACGTACGCGCGCGCACACACACACACGCACACACACACGCACACACACATAGAGCGATTACTTTGCAGCAGCAGTGCCCTCATCCGTCAACGGTGGCGCACTGGGCTCCACTGCCTTGGGATCTTTGATGCCAAACGCATCACGCATACGGTCCAACCGCTCGCTGCCAGCCTTCTCCTCCGTCTCCCTGTCAAACACACGAGAACAGAGTCAAAATGCCGTAAAGTGCCGTGAGAGCGCCCCATCTCGCGAGACAGCCCCACCTTGATTTTGCAGCCAAGGGAAAGAAAACCGTATGGCAGAGTGCTACTAAGTTTGTACAGTGTCAGAACCTTACAGTGTAGTGTACTAAGGTCACACGTGACGTGGCACGCTTTTGTGTGGAGCTCGCATCTGCTCGAAGGTAACCTGAGTACGGATTGACTGCACAACGTGCAATGTATGTACAAAGTACGCGTCGTATGACCTACAGACAGGACATCACCTCCACAATACGACCACAAAAAGGACGAGATGGTGGGGCCCTCCCGCGGGTACTTAACGGCACATGTCTACACTGGCAGTGGAACCACATTTGCATTCTTGTCTCCAAGGAAATTGTTCGCTTACATGAAAATATTGAGAGGTGTTACTGCAGGAAACACCTTCGTACAATACTGGTTTTAACTTTTCAAGGATACAAAGTCCGTACGCTGCGCACATATGGTATCTGCGCTGTGAAACTCTCCCTAGTCACGAAACTTCCGGGCATAGGCCATCCTCAGTGAGGAGCAAAAAACTAATAGCGAACAGCCAAGAACGGGAGTAGGTATGCTGTAAGGTGCAGTAGGAAAGTGATGAGATGAGGAATGTGAGAAATGTGTCAGCTTTGTGTGTAGGTGTGTCGGTGTGGAGAGAAGGAACGCTGGTGAAAGGTGCTGCGAGAGAGGGAGGGAGAAACGCTTGTATAACTTGTGTGTGAATATGTTAGCGTGAAAATTTAAGTGAAATGACGTGGAGCTGGAGTTATACGTGTGAAGCCACGTGTGAAGACAAGTACCTAAGTACAGTACAGTACAGCCAGCTAGCACACACATACATGTACATAAAACATTGGAAAGAAAAAAAGAAAGAAAAAAAAAAGGAAAAAAAACATCAAACATTACGGTGCAACATCACAGTCAAAGTTCATCACCACACTAACATGCTTCATACTTTACACACTGCGCCCAGCAGTCTCCAGCCACAGTCCATGTTGACAGTAGGTCACACATGTCACGAATGACCACTGCTTCCCGTATACAGCGAAACCTGTCCAGGACAAACGTGGTCTCTGTTGCCAGGTGGTCTCCTTATCCAGGGTCATTTGACTGGAAATAGCATCCCTTGGTCCTGGCTTCAGTGGTCTTCTGCTAGGACAGGTGATCTCCTTATCCGAGTAGTCGCCTTGACAGATTTTCCTGTATAATGATGATTTACAGGGGGGCAACTGTGTGGTGAGGATTGACGCAGTGGTGATGGCGTGTAGAGGTGCAATGTGAAGCATGTATAAGTGAAGTTTGACTATGATGTTGCACACACAGACATGGCACAGTAATGTTTGATGTATGTGTGTGTGTGTGTGCTAGCTGGTTGCACAAAGTACCATACTTAGCAGATACTTGTCTTCACACTTGGTTTCACACATATACATGTATGACTCCAGTTCCACAGTTCCTAAGGCTATTTCATGCTAACATACTCACACACAAACACAGCACCCCACTTCTCTCCCTCCCTGCCTCCCAGCACCTTTCACCAGCACTCCTACTCTCCACACATACACACCTACACACAACGTTGACACATTTCTCACATTCCTCATCTTAACACTTTCCGACTGCACCTAACGGAATACCTACTAGCACTCCAGTACGTTGCTGTTTGTCTTTAGTTTTACTGGTGAACCCTGAGGAGAGCCCAAACCTGAAAAATCGGAGATAAGAAACTTTTGTAACGAAGAGATAATTATGTGAGTGTTCAGACTCGGTAGTGTGTAGGTGGCTGCAAAGGATATTGCTAATCCTTGGAGAAGTTAAACAATTAGTAAAAACCAAACTGTACCCAAAAAGCACGTAAGTTCTCTTGCTAAAACTTTCTCTAACATTGCCAGTGCGACGTAACAAGACGGATAGGCGGATCGACGCTCTGTGCTCATACCGAGGTCCCGCACTGTAGACTGCATTCAGTGCAGGCTTTACGCCGTGTGCGTACGATGTGCCTAGCCTACGGTCGTGCTGTGCGGAACCATGGAGCAATCTCCCGTCCGCCCCACCCCATAGAAGGGATTGAGGTACTCTGGCGACATCTTCAGGTTTTGTAAAACAGAAGAGTTTGACAAATCAGAAAAGTCTACAAACTCAGAAGACGTCTTCCTGAATGTACATGGACAGATGCTCACGAGTGTCAATATTTCTGTATGTTAGCTTGCAGTTTCCAGCAACACCTCACATGTGTGTGTGTGTGTGTGTGTGTGCGCGCGTATGTGTGGTGTATCTGCGAGTGTGTATCTGCGAGTGTGTGTGTGTGTGTGTGTGTGTGTGTGTGTGTGTGTGTGTGTGCGTGCGTGCGTGTGTGTGTGTGTGTAGTGCTACAGTAGTGCTCACCTGGTGGAAGCAATCTCCGTGGCATGGTTCGAGATCAGCAGAGTGCGCAGCTCCGCAACTTGCCGCTCAATGATCTCGTCATCCACTCTACAACAAACAAATATAAGCAGGAGAATACAACAGAATATAGATGAGTACATTGAAGACACAGTGAAACCTGTCCAAGACGACCGCTCCAGTAACCTTCAAAACGTGGTCTCTGTTACCAGGTGGTCTCCTTATCCAGGGTCATTTGACTGGAAATAGCATCTCTTGGTCCTGGTTGCAGTGGCCTTCTAGGACAGGTGGTCGCCTTATCCGAGTGGTCGCCTTGACAGGTTTTACTGTACAGGTTAAACTTGCATTTACTAAAGGAAAATCCCATCATGCAGCTAATGGGATTTCGGTCTTTGACCACTTGGTGGTGGGTCTGATCTACTCACCTCCCACCGTTTAGGCGCTGCATCTGCGCCTTTGATCCTAGAGGGTGGTGGCGTTCCCACGGCGGATGCGGGAAACTCGTGAAATTTTTAATTCATTACTAAAGGAAAGACAAAAGAGAGGACGCCAACCCAGTCCACATGATGTGCCGGAAAATCACCCACCTGGGTGTGCAGGGAATTTCCCTATCTGATAAGATACTAGTCTATCTGCCTGCACTTGTACAATCTTATAGCACCTGCTGACAAGCAAGCAGTGGATTTCATCAAAGCTGTGCTCAAACATACAGCTAGCATATTTTCATAGGCACTTAGGCACGGTGGTTCATTTGCCCATGATAGAAGGTTGCACAGTACTCTCACACATCTCAGAGGCAATAAGTACTCAAGAATGCCCCCCCCCCCCACACCCATACACACACGCACGCATGTGTGCGTGCATGCAAACGCACACGCGTATTGTAACATTCGACAACACTTCCTATTTTCCAAGCGCTGGCGGTGGGGCGGGATCATCAATGAGGGTTTTTCAGATCCTAAACTTCAACTTCCTAAGCCCGTGTTGGTACTGTACTGTTCACGAGTAGATACCGTAACGTCTTGTATATTAAAAGTCTGCCTCTTATAGAACTCTGTTGGCAATACAAGTCTGGTGTACTGCCGGTACATGCGCCTGGATTTAATGTTGACGTACACTGAAATACAGCTGTATAGTACCTGGTTTGAATAGAAGCCTAGCACTGCCATTGGCTTCTACAGGAACGAGCTTGGCCTTTTTTTTATACGCGCCAATACGGTACATGTAATATCCTGTTGTCCACAGCCGGACAGCAGTTGAAGCAACCGTAGAGAAATGCGAACCCATCTTCGCAGAAGACAACTTAAAACTAAACATCAGCAAAACACAATTTGTAACAGCTACAAAGTCAGATGCCTCCTGGAGGTCGGTCAAACTGTTGGGTTCTCGTCTGGGGTCAGCGGAGGACATTGATGCACGTATCATAGCAGCGAACCGGGCATTTTCCAGTGTATCATGGAAACGCCATACCCAGCAGTCCCGCTTAAGCATGTTCAACTGTCTCATTTTGCCAGTTCTCCTATATAACTGCGCGCTATGGACTCTAACAAAAGCCTTAGAAAGCAAAATTGATGTATGGCACCGCCGTAAACTCAGATACATACTTGGAGTCATCTTTCCCAATAAAATTTCGAATAATGCTCTTTATGCTAAAAGTGCTCAATGCCCAATAAGTGCAGTCTGTAGACGCCGGCGCTTATTATGGTTTGGACATGTCATTCGTGAAGGGAAGGACGCTGTGGCGTACAAAGCCCTTCACATGGCAATGAATACAACAGATATAAAGAAGCCCAGAGGTCGCCCAGTGACCAGATGGGTAGACAACATTAGGAATGACCTTTTACTTCTCAATATGTCTCTTTTGGAAGCGGAGCAACTTGCCTCAGACAGAACGCACTGGCTCGACGTTGTCGACAGATGCATGACCCTCATTTGATTTTTCATATGACTGATTATGAGCTATATGCGTGCTGTATTATTATTATTAATATCCTGTTTCGAGCACCCCCAGTGTAACCGCAAGTGCATGTCACGTGAGCTGCATGGCTAGCAGTATATATGTACGAGAAACCACGCCTGGGCAGAAATAAAGTGGAGCAGAAGAGAAGCTTCCAATCCTGAAATTTCGCACTAAATAAACATGTTATCGCGTGCATACCCGTCGTCTTCCAATTGAGCACGCAGTTCCATGCACTGAATTTCCACCTGGCGCTTCCGCTCGTGCTCCAGAATGTCAGGGTTCGTCTTCTTCGGTGCGAGCATCGCCTCTACTCTCTTCATGTCCTCATCAGTGCGATACTCGACTCGCTCACGTTTCTGTCCAAGGCTGGACATGTTCTTCGTGACGTAGCCATTCGTGCCCGTCCCACGTGCCGTGGTGAGGCCAATGCCGTTATACATGACCGCCGGAGTGATGCACGAAGTCAAACACTCATTCCAGCTCTTGTTCTAGAGCTCCAGCCCAACAATGTTTTGCTCTGACAAGACAATTTATTTCCCCAGCAAACAAAACAGCATTCGATTTGGAAGGATCCAAAATCTTTCTTCCAAAAGTGTTGTGCTTTTGACATATCGTGCAAAATGTTATTTTTGCCGAACCAGCCAGGACGTGACGTATGTACGTAGATCTACGTCGCCAAGCGATTTTCTCAGATTCTGTGCCTGTGGCGCGCATGCGTGTGACGTAAGAATGACGTTTTCCGATTTTCAAATTTTTTGTTTTCTCCGCGGGAATCAACGTCCACGTGCACGTACACGTGGCGCAAACCAGATGCTCTTCTCTCTCTCTTTTGTCGTTTTGACTTGGTTAGTTGGGTTCCTACTTGTTGATGTTTGGGTTCTTTATAATAAACTACAACTGTATGCTTAGTTGACGATCTGCACCGCGCAAACGGAGCTTCTCTGCGTGCGTTTCTGTTGTATGGCGCACACCTGGTGACCGATTGCATCTTGGTGTGCAATCCACTCAGCGAATTATTTGTCGGCTGACATATACATGTAAATTTTTCGAAATATAAACGCAGTATAAAAATATCAAGTCCACAACCATCACAGTGAACAGTCGTGAACATTATCATTCAAGAAAAAAGGTTCTCCTGTAACGCCAACGCTCCCTCATCTCTACATTTCCACTCTGTATTTGCAGCGCCCATTGCCTTTCCTCAGTCTAAGGATGGGAAACAACAAAATCTACACGCTTGTGTTCGTTGTGGAGGATGGCAAAGTGCTTCTGGGTATGAAGAAGCGTGGATTCGGTGTGGGTCGCTGGAATGGATTCGGTGGCAAAGTGGAGCCACAGGAGACCATCATGGAAGGCGCAAAGAGGTAAGAAGCGCGTACTAGTAGTACACAGCACATTGCATGCGTGCATGCGTCAGCTTGCAGCACACGTTGCACTGACCTCGGAACAACAGACGGTTTTTTTTGTCCAGCACTAGCACATGCAGCAAGGTGACATAAGGTTATTATTGTTTACATGCAGCACACTTCCCCTTGGATAACATACACCTATCAGGCGCGTGCGCCGGTGCCCTTCAAGGAGGGGGGGGTTCCGGGGGCTCCCGGGGGGGGGGGGGGGGGGGAGTTTTCAAAACATGAAGCAAAATCCTGCATTTTGAGCGAAAAAAGGGGGGGTTCCGGGCACCCAAGAACCCATACGGGGCACGCGCCTGCCTATCATAACTGGGAGCTGGAATCTGGCCGTAGCACTCAGCCTGGCCATGTCCAGACCCTATCTCGAAAAAAGCTGACCCACCCTATTCGTGCAAGACGGATTTTTCGTCAATAATGTTCATTTCCGATCAAAAATTCTCGGCTGTAGAGACCAAGCTTTCCGCATCCGTAGGAACGCTACCACCATAAAGTATCAGGCGCGTGCGCCGGTGACCTTCAAGGGGGGGTTCCGGGCGTCCCCCGGGAAATTTTTCAAAAAATGAAGCAAAATCCTGCATTTTGAGCGGAAAAAAGGGGGGGTTCCGGGCACCAAGAGTACATAACCCCCCAGAGTGTGCAACTCCACTATGGGTGCTGTCCCGACAGAATTTCAAGTTGACGTCATTTTGATGATGCAATGCGCACTGTACACGGATTACCAGACGAATCCGGAACCTGTGGTTGACCGAAGCAGATCGATCCTGTACAAATTATTGCAAAGAAAAACGTGTGATGCGTTGACACCCGTACACATGTTGTAAATCACTGGTGCAAGGAGCATTGCGTCATAAATAATGACGTCAACTTGAAATTCTGTCGGGACAGCAGGGTATGTGGGAGTTGCACACTCTGGGGGGTTATGTACTCTTGCCGGGCACCCAGGAACCCATACGGGGCACTCGCCTGAGTATCGCATTAAAATTTGGCCGGACCAGTTGAAATCCCAATGATGGGAGTAAAACGCAGCGATTTAAGTGTGCATACTCGTATCCTTGGGATTCACGTATCGCACAGACGATGTTCTGCCCAGAGTTCATGCAAAGAAACTCCAGGGGCTGCTGGGCGGTATCTACCGTGCGCCCTTTCGGTGAGTGTCAGTGGAAATATTACTACTCTTTTGTCACTCTTTGTAGAAATTTAATAGTGATGTCACATGCCATGTCTATGGCCTTTCCCATCATAATGTATGTGATTCGGATTTACGGGTAGTGCCCGGTCCCAGACCACCCGGATAAACAAAGTATGAGTGTACTTCTGTACTGTGTCCATCGTCTCTGTGTTTTGTGACAGGGAGCTCGAGGAGGAATCCCTTGTCAAGGCCGAGCAGATCGAGGCTGTTGGCGTGATCCTGTTCGAGTTTGTCGGCGAGCCAGTTATCATGGAAGTGCACGTGTTCCGCGTCGACTCCTACACGAGTCAGCCAGAAGAAACAGAAGGTGAGGGCACAATTCTGATGAGTTCCATTTGGGTGTAGTGGCAACGACGAAAATCTCTTCAATTCCTGGAGTTCATACACACAGCCGCGATGCCATGATGTTGAATGGAACTGTTACTTGTGCGGGGGTGCTCGAGACATACAGGAGACGGATAAGTGCCCATGGGGTAGTGGCATTTTCCCATCCCGAAAATGTCCCGTACGTGTACAGGATCAAGGGCCCTACCCTCATCTGGTGCAAGGGGGGTGGGGGGCAGCGGCCCGTCGTACTAACGGTGGCCCAGAAGAACGGAAAACGTTTCTTTTCCGGATTTCGAGACCCTATAAGTACAACAAAGTGATAATTACTGACAAACGTTCGCTTTTGAAGAACCAGTATTTATCACCCTATCGGATAAATCACTGTGTATTCGCTGGATTCAAGATAGTGTATTCACTGGGTATAACATGTGGATAAGAAGGACTCATGTTATTGCGAACAAGATACCAGAGAACAGATTGGTAGTCGTTCTTAATATGTTAGAGAGGTTCTGCACAACGATAATTCGAACTTTCGCGACAGGCCTTTCGAAAATGTGTACGAATTTTCGCACGAACTTTGTGTTCTGCACATTTTCGTAGTTGGCATGCGCCAAGTGCACGTACGCCATGATCCGATCTCACGAAACTTCCTGCGAAAGTTCATTTCGCGTTCCCTGCAAGTTTCACGTCCAAAGTTGCGAAAGTTCGTGCTACGTTCCTCACTTCGTGACGTAGAGCGAAAGTTTGTACACATTTTCGTTTTGCAGAACCTCTCTGTTGACTGCATGCCAGTTTTCCATTTCAGCTGACCAGCTTGACCTACTTGACCAATGGATGACTTCTTGGCATTCATGTGGAATGTGCAGGTAGCGTGGCCGAGTGGTCTAAGGCGCTGGATTAAGGCTCCAGTCTCTCCGGAGGCGTGGGTTCGAATCCCACCGCTGCCAGTGTTGTTTTTTTCATTTTTGCACAAAGAGTTCACAATAGCTTACAAGAACCGGTCGAAAGTGTTCACACATCAGCAATGTTTCCATAGTGTAGCGGTTATCACGTTCGCCTAACACGCGAAAGGTCCCCGGTTCGATCCCGGGTGGAAACAGCCAGATTTTTTGCCAGATTTTGTTGGCCAAGCCTGTTCCCCTCACATGCATTGGACCAGTGTCAAAAAGAGTAGAGATAAATAAGGTTGTGCTTACATGAGAAATTTCAACCCGTGTCGAGTTCACCCCGGGTTGAAAGTCTGTACGATAGACAATTGTGGATTATACAAGAAACCATAGGTTTTGATGTATAATCCTAATTGCATAAGGAGGTGAAGCGAAATGTAACACTGTAGTGGCCCCTTCGTTTTCTCTGCAAACCCGCTAGAAATACCAGAATTTTTAACGCCAAACACCATAGCAACCACTGCCCTGGATAACCCCTGTGCCACTGCCTGCCTCCATTGGCCTTGTTTGAACTGCTCTGTAAATCCTGAGCACGCCCCAGTGGGGATGGGCCGGGAGGGACTACAGTGTTACATTTCGCTTCACCTCCTTATGCAATTAGGATTATACATCAAAACCTATGGTTTCTTGTATAATCCACAATTGCACTGCAGAGGCTCCGCTTCATGTAACACTGTAGCTATTTGTCGCAGTAAAAAACCGCCCACAAGCAACGTGAAGCGAAATGGTGACGAACATTACATCACCGCAGGCCAAGACCAGTGGAAAACAGGAATAAGTACCTGGCTAGAAAAACCACTATACATGTAGTGTCCAAGGTCAGAATACCATCCGAAATAGACCGAATGGGAGTACAGGCAAGAGAAGCCAAAAGAGAGGAAAAATGGGTTGACAACCCATCATGTCGTCATGCACTAGAACAAGACTAGATAAGAGTCCAGAATTACATGTACAACGTGAGTACTTGCGAGTTAGTATTTGCAAATCCAACTCATAGTCCAGGAACCGGACATAGCTAAGTCCGTCGAAGAACCGTGGCCGTGAACTGATCTGCCGCTGTCCGTGCAGGGCTCGCGTCCACTGGCAACAGATAGAAACGCCGAAAGGTAGATGCTGATGACCAATCGGCTTGGTGCAAGATATCCGCTAAGGATACCCCACCGGCATGCGCGACCGATGTAGCAGCCCCACGCAACGAATGGGCTGAGAATATCGCTGTGTCCACTCCGGCCGCAGTCATACCATCCTTTATCCACCTGGCTATAGAGGACGATGTCACCGGCTTGAAAGGCTGCCGCAGGCTGAGGAAAATCTGCGGATGAGCAGTCTGACGGTGAGGAGCTGTGCGCCTGACATACTCCTGGAAGCAGCTTGATACGCACAAGTGTGGCGTGCTGTCGAAGACAGGCCACACCACGGTGGGAAGGGACGCATCCCCTCGGCAACCAGGCCGACGCTGCTTAGGCATGGAGGCATACGTCACACGGAGAGACCCATCACCCTCAGTAACATGGGAATGGAAATCCAAACGATGCAAATCAGAAGAGCGCTTGGCGCCAGTCAGCGCCATGAGCAGAGCCAGCTTTATTGAAAGCAGGCGTAGAGAGAGGGTAGAATTGTCACCCAGACCACCCATCCAACCCAAGACATCGGAAACTTTCCAAGTATGGGAATACCGGGGTTGTGGAGGACGCTGTTGGAAGACGCCACGCATAAGCCGAACCACCAGGGGATGTTGGCCAACTGGCGCACCATCTAAGCCTGGCAAAGTGGAGGACAGGGCAGAACGATACACATTCAACGTGCGGTAACTTCGGCCCACGGCAAACATATCAGTTAGAAACTGCAATACTTGTGACACAGGCGGCTGAAAGGAATCAATCCGCCGTTCAGAACACCAACTGTGCCAAGCTGTCCATGCTGACGAATAGGCCGAGTTGGTGGAGTCCCGCCATGATCCCAGGATGAGGGCAATAGTGCCTGATGAAAGGCCTGCCGCCGCATAGGATCGGGAGAGATGAGCCAGCCGGCTAGTTGGAGATGACCGCCCAGCACCATGGGATGAGGTTGATCCAGCGGTGAGGTGAGGAGCGCTGGATGGCCCGGTAATAGAACTGGACATGCTACCAGAAGATGGAGCAGGAGCGGATACCATGGCTGCGCATCCCACACTGGTGCCACCAGCAACACTCTGCACCCCGGGGACTGGCGCACTTTGTGCAGAACCCTCGGCAAGAGAGCAAAGGGTGGAAACGCATACAGGCATTGATCGGCCCATGATATGGCAAGAGCATCCACATCCAGTGCTCCGGGTTGAGGCCCCCAGGACACAAAGCTGTCCAACTGGGCATTGGTCCGTGACGCAAACAGGTCGATCGCCGGCTGCACCTGGAAGTGTTGGCAAAGGCCCCGGAACACTACTGGATCGAGCATCCAGTCGCTCGAATCGATCCCCTGACGGGACGGGGCATCGGCCGGGTTCTCCGCCGACGGTATGTACTCGGCTTGAACTGTGATGCCACGTTCCAGACACCACTCCCACACCTGGCAGGCCAGCTGGGACAAGTGCGGGGCATGTGTGCCGCCCATCTTGTTGAGGTAAGCCTGGCAAGTGGTATTGTCCACAAACAGGCGAACATGAAGCGGACGGTCCAACGCCACCCGGTGGAAGGCCTGAAGTGCCAGAAACGCCGCTGTCAACTCGAGGGCATTGATGTGCATGGAACGCTCTGCCCGAGTCCACCGGCCGCCCACCTGTTGATCCCTGCACACTGCTCCCCAGCCATCGAGGGACGCATCCGAGAACACCACCAGATTGCAGGGTGGGCGAACCAATGACTTCCCGTTGCAGTCGGACAGTCGCTCTTTCCACCACTGTAAATCCAGCCTGGCGTCGGGTGTCCACTGGACGGTCGCCTCGTAAGACTGGGACTCGCGAAGAGCTAGGATCTTGAGCTCCTGCAGATGCCGGTAACGGAGCGGCGCTGTTAGCAGACCCGGAGAAAGGGATGTCAAGCGCCCCAACAGACAGGCTAACGTGCGAACAGTCACCCGTGGCTGCAGCAGAAGCTTGGTGCACTCCTGGCGAAGCTTCCGGATCTTCTCCGGAGGCACCCGCATCTCCATGGCACGAGAGTCCACTTCGAAGCCCAAGAATGAGATGTTCTGGGCAGGAGTCAACACCGACTTCTTGAAGTTGATGAGAAATCCCAGTTGATGTAACAACTGAATTGCCCGGCGCAAGTGCTCCAGTGCTTCCGCCGCCGACGATGCCATAATCAGCAGGTCGTCCAGATAGATAATCAGGCGCACACCTTGGCTGCGCAGAATCGCCATCGGAACCTTCATGAGCTTGGTGAACACCCTTGGCGCGCTGCTCAGGCCGAAAGGCAAGCACTGAAATTGGAACAGCTGACCTGACCACCGAAATCGGAGCAGTCTCCTGAAATCGTGGTGGATTGGCACCACGAAGTAAGCATCCTTCAGGTCCAATTTCACCAGCCAGTCGTCGGGCTGAAGGAGATCGGGCAGCAGCTTCAATCCTTCCATCTTGAAGTGCTCGTAGCGCACGAACCCGTTCAGCGCTTTCAAATTCACCACGGGACGTTCCTTGCCGGAATCCTTCTTTGGAATGGTGAAAATCTGGCTGACGAATTGATGAGGACACTCCTGCACTCGAGTGACGGCCCCTTTCAGCATCAATTCGTCCACTTCGAGCCGCACAGCGAGCGCTCTGTCCTCCTCCAGAGATAATTCCCTGGGCTCCGTGCTTTGTGCGGGATCGGCCACGAGATCCAGCTTCAGGCCCCGCACCGCATCCAAGACCCACGGGTCGGACGTGATTGCCGACCAGGCTTGCACAAAATGCCTCAAACGCCCAGCGACCGGAATTTGGGGGAGCGGGGGCACGAGCGGAGCGCGCGCCAGCTCGTTGTGGGGTGGACTTGGATGGCCGCGAAGATGTACGTTGAGCTGGGAACGCGAACCATCCACCGGCAGGGTCATCAATGACCCTGACCGCGCCCCCGAAAGG